ATATACCACTACTTCCATGAAGTGATAGCCAAGAACCAGAGAAACTGATTTTAGCAGGAGAAATGAAACAAATTATCCATGGGTTATTTCATGTTTTAATAAGCAATTATATTAATTAATGAGGAATATGATATGATAAGTACAGTTTTTGGCTGTTCTAGTGTTATGCCTGAGGAAAACCTTATCATTGAAAACTACCTGAGAAGCATACTAATGCAGACAATTTCAAAAACTTGTGATTTTTTATCCTAATTAGCTAGGTAAGAAATAAAAAGTGCTCTCAGCAGCTGGATTGTAGAAAGGTTTTTATTTAATTGACTCTATCAACTCTGTTCATCAGAGTCCTCCAGGACCTTTTCCTAATACAAACCTTGATCTGGGTGAACTCTCATTTTCCTTTCTTGGCATTTATATAACTGCAGGCTGCTCCAGTGGCAGAGCAACCGAGGCACATGCTGATGCAGAAAGCGCTGAGGAACACCCTGGCATCTGAATTCCTTATGTCAAAAGCAATTCAATCTTTAAACCCACGTGTTTCAGTCTTGCTTAGCCCATGTGTGCATAGCTCCCCATGCTAGTAGGAGCTGTGAATGCAGAAATATTTCAGGGTGAAATCAGGGACAGGGCTTTAGGAAGGAGGAAAGACCTTCCCTTTTGAAGCAACAACAGATGCATCATATCAGCTATTCATGATCTTAAATCCTCCCAAATGTTACAAATTGTGGTGACCATGAATGAATTGGGATGCAGAGCCAGATGCAGCTCTGCCTGGAAGGGGCTGACAGGAGAGAGAAGGAAGAAGRGGCAAAGGCCAGGGCATCCCTGCTGCACCTGGTGGCATTCATAGGAAGGGAAGGGTTAGCCTTCCAGTAAATCTAAACTTGCTTATTATTAGCTCAACATGCCCTGATGAATTTTTAAAGGAGGATGGATATGTCAACAGTAGCGGATTTTCCCATTCTGATGTAAATGTTGTCATTCTATACCTCATGAATAATGAAACATTTATGTGATTCCGTCTAATTAAATGTAGGACAAAGATGCTTGGAATGCATCACTTCTGTAGCACACCTAAAAATCTTATCAGGAAGTCTAATAATTTATTCCCTTGCATGTATTTTCAGTTGTTTTTCTTTTCTGGTTCACTTGCTAAGGATCTAAAAACAAGGTATTTAAAGCCTTAGATTTCTATTTACTTTTGTAATAAACCATTCCAAATCAATCTTTTTTTTTTTTTTTTTTTTTTTTTTTTTTTTTCCTGATCTTTGGTATGTTCCCTTTCAATTTTTCTCCATGGAAAACCAAGAAAATGTGGCTGGGAACTTGTGACTGTACAGCTGCCATAGGAAAAAATAATCTCATTCCCTGCCCTCAACTAACCTTGAGAGAGATTTGATGTTACTTCGTGACTAAATTCACTGATTACTAAAACATTGCTTATTTCACAGTGGGGGAGGATTTGATGCCTCTCACTGGCTTCAACTGGGACCCATCCAAAATACAAGAACAAGGCTGGTACAAACAATGTCTAAGGGGAATTTCTGTTTCAAAGCATGCGTATTTTCTGGGAAGAGAATATTCCAAGAAAGCATCTGACCAGCTCAGACAAAGCATCTGACCAGCACAAGAAGTCAGAATCTATTTCATAATCATAACTTTAACACCATTAGAATAACCTGAAAGTCCATGTCTTAAACAGACAAAACACCTTTGACCTCAGGAAAGCTAAGTTCAAATTGGTAGTAGTGTCAGTACAGTCAGAATCAGGTGAACTATCAATGATTTTAATCATTACCAGTATTTCAGAGAAATCCTATAGTGAAATATCAAAACTGCTCGTTCTTTGTAGAAGTCTGGGTGGCTAGGATAAAAAAAGATCACCTTGAAACATCACTATTTTGGAAAATGCAAAAGTGTGAAATCCCATCTCCGTCTTGTTCAGTAGATTTCTTGTTGTTATACCTTGTGCTTTTTTTTTAAAGATCTTAAGAAATTTGACATACATAGGAAAAAAAACTTGTATAGAATTTTTCTATTTTTAATGGAGGAAGGGACCATGCAACTTTTTGTAGCATTTCAGTGCCCATAGCCATATATAACATATCTGAGCTCACTTGCTATAGGGAGTGGCTAGTATAACTGTAGTAAGCGTACAATGGTTAATCTTAAATTTTACCTAATTAGTAGAAATTTCAGTTTCTTTTGAGTGACTGTAACTATGCATATTTTTTCATGCATATGTATGCACAAATTATTAAGAAAAAAATGCTAGGAATAGTAACTGCTTTTCTCAAAGAATGAGCAACGATGTTTCATATTGTTTCTTCTAGAAAAATCTTATATTCTTCCCTCCTAACCCTCAAAAAAGATAAAATACAATTTTGCTCTTTTTCTCCCTCAGAATACATATCTCCATGAATTTTCATTGGAGTACATGTATATGCATGTGGGGGGAGTCGGAGAGGAAGAATTTCTGCCTGACCATACACTGCAAGAGATTCTCAAATTCAGGTTTTTGGGCATGCCATGACTTTTTCATCTTTGTATAACTGAGAGTAGAAAAAAAAAGCACTCACTAATGGCAGTGCAGGTAATGAATACCAAACCACATAGCACTAACAGGAACCAGAACATTAAACTACCAAAAAATTAACACCTTTCAACTTGTGTCAGCAATTCTGTGGCATTAATCTACTGGAGTGAGGCTGCAAAATGGTCCTCCCATAATCATTAAATTCTTTATGCTGTGGCCCGCTCTCCGTTGGAGGTGGCCCTGGGGGCTCCGCAGTGTGCTGGCGGACGTGCAGGGTGAGCCAGAGGGGACGAAAGGCACTGGTGACAATTTCAGGGCACTTTATCATGCAGGAGGTGACCCTTGTGCATCTGTACACGCTGAACATTTTCAGGGGAACTAGCAACTCGGAGTCAAATGAAACGTGAAGAGGGTTTAACAAGGAAAAGGCTTTACTGGCGACAAGAAAATGTTTTGTATTTCATTGTCTTCCTCTCCCATCTCTCTTACCTCTGCCCCAAAGAGATAATTTCTTTAAGAGAATCAGGTATCAAGTGGCCTGGATGCCTGCCATGAACCCCTGTAAATTCAGGGACATCACCTAACCATGTGTAAAACAGAATTAGCAATTCACACTCTAAAAGTTTTGGATAAATGATGGAAATGCTCATTCTTTCTTTTTTACTTTTTTTTCGATTGGCGTCTTGTCCATTTTATTCTTGACCTGCAGAGAATTTCCTACAAGGGAATGTCCCACATGGTAGCCTGTTGGTAAGAATTATCGGTACCGTATGCAGAACATTTTCTGTTTTGCACATAATCTTTTCTAAAATTGCATTACAACTATATCCATGGAATTAAGTCAAAGTTTGCTGAAGTAAAATGAATGAAAAAAAAAAACTTAAAGAATCACAGTCATTTTTCTGTGTGTTCTTTTTCCAACAAAAAATACAATCGACCTTTTATTTAGGTGCATTGTAGCCATGGGATTGCGTCGTGCTTTTGTGATTTATGAATTCAGTATAGAATTTACAAAATTGGAAATGAAGATATGAAGAAGTTTCTAAAAACACTGTCAGTGTGATGTGGTTATGACAAGTTGACATGTTTTAGGACAGAATACTATGTTTTCAAATTGCGCTGTTAAAGGAAAAACTAATTAAATTCACAGTGTTTCAGTGTACAGCCGTTAATCATAAGCTAGTAAGGCATCATTACATGACACAATATTAATAATACCTTTACTTGAGGTAAATTAATGCCTGAGTTGACATATGTCATATTTATATATTTATTAGTCATATTTATTGACTTCCAGAGTTTTAGTTTCTTACAGACGAGAAGGATGCAAATTATTTATTGGGAACAAATTGCAATTTATTTGCAATTTATTTGCAATGCTTTCTTACCAGCACCACGCTAGTCCCCATCCTGTAGGAATAACAAATTAATTGGCTGACAAGGAACAGCTTTCTCCCGGACATAGAAATGCACTTAGCTGCCAAATAAAATACAACTTTCATCCTCTTCTTTTTGACGAGTCGCTTAATAAGCTCCTTCAAATACTTTTCTCCTTCTTTTAGTTAACACCCAAGATTTTGTTTTAGCATTCCAAAATCCTTAACATTACGAAGGCATTCCTGAATATCTAAATTAAGTTTATAGCTCCATACCAGTATGTGTGTGTGTCACAACATATTATAGGGATTATGATTTCCTCAGGATATGGGGAAACTGAATTTTGCTCCAAACTCTGCTGCTGCAACTCAGCTGACCTCACTGCTGTACTGAAAACAGAATTTACTCCAATAAAAATGCCATAAATACAGATTGACATTTTTGAAATGAGCAGTCCTAAAAAAGGTTCCAGTGTGAAAATAAGAAAAGTTGAAAAAGTTGTTTTTCATTTGTACAAATATACAATTTTTCAGGGAAAGTCAAACCCAGTTTGAACATTCATGTATCTTAGAAACAATTATATACAATTCAATATAGCAACAATTGCGTGCACCTTAACCTATTTTTTGGAAATAAATTATTTCCTAACTGTTGCTTCTGCTTTGTTACAGTCACTTTACTTATACATTGTTACTGTGGAGTAAAATGTAGCTATATCTAATAAAAACAGCCTTTAGAATAAAAAATAATTTTATAACTGTAGATTCATAACTTCTTGGTAGCACTCTAAACCACCTGTGGTCTGATCCTTGGTATCCAAAGTCACTGAGTATTTTACTTTGATATTGGTTGTATAGGATTCAGCCATCTGATCTTCCCACTAAGTAGCTGATTTCAGCAAATATTTCATATTGCAGATATTAATATCAGGCCCTTCACGGGAAGCTGTGGGAACTGCTTTGGCCAGGAGCATATGCATACTGGAGAATGGCAGCTCAGCACAGGCTGCCAGGCACACAGTTAGCAAATGTTTCTTGGTGCTTGGATGCTGGTTATTTCTAATAGGAATTTTTCTTATTTGCCTTTCTAGGAGTTTGTCATGATTGTTGTCTTTGGTTTGGAATTTATTATTCGTATCTGGTCTGCTGGATGCTGTTGTCGATACCGAGGATGGCAAGGAAGGCTACGCTTTGCAAGGAAACCGTTCTGTGTGATAGGTGAGTGTCCCAGCTCTAGTTTATTATAAGGTAGAAATAAAATCTCCCAAYCTCATGTCTGTTTTGCTTCTGAATGCATTTTAAAAAGGGGGAGCAGATTCAATTCATAGCCTCCCTGGTGTAAATCCAGAATAGTTCTTTGTCAAATGTCATCTGTCCAAGGCTTCTCTAGATACAAAGAAAGATCCTTAATACCAGTCAGTTCATTATCCTTATATTCTCCAAAGAGCATTTTTTTATAAGCAGGCCATACACTTGACATGTATATTGGAAAAATATCCAGAGCCGATGTCTTTGAAAATCACCATCTCCTTGAGAATCATGGGACCATTCAGTGGCCAGGAATATTATACAACTTGTATGTGTATTTACATATTGCACGTGTATGTGTGTATCTTGCATGTCCTCTTTACTTAACCTTCTGTGGTCACAGACAAGATGTGTGCACACCTCATTAAATCTGAAAACCTACCTACAGGTATATGTCATGCTGTCCTTTACTTCTCCCTCTTGTCTCCCCTTGAGATTGCAGATGATCTGCCAGTGACTCTGAAACAGCAGATAACAGCAGATAACAGCTGTTTCAGGAGTCTCTTCCTCCTATTCCTCCCCTTAGACATAGTCTCTTAGCATGGATAAATAAGTCCACAACCACTCAAATCCCTATTTTTAAAAAGAATCAGTGAGAAATCAGTTTCCCAGTAACATCAGAGATCAAGGATGGCTAACCAAATTAAGCTAATAATTTATTATTTTTCTAATGATTTGGGGCAAATGCTTTGTAGAGGACATCTGTGGAACTTTAGGATCTCAGCTCTCCACCTTTTGTCTCAACACGCTTTCCCTCTTCCAGCCTTTAATTTCATCTGCTTAAGTCTTAAGTTAAATTATGAAACAGTTTGGGCATCAGACCCATTTCCACAAGCATCTGTATAGCAAGCAGCCCAAGGGAGCCTCACGCACATAGCCCTAATACCCAAAGTCCTCCGTGTGCACTGGGACTAGCAGTAACCTTGTGAAGATGAACATAGCCCTGATATGAAAAGCATTGTGCAGTGCTTGGTGACAACGCTGGCCAATGTGCTACTGTCTGAAGGGCACTTTGTGCCTTCAGCCTCTTTCCCTGGCAAATCCATGCTTTGTCTCAGAGAAGAATTCCTGTTTTGGAGAAAGGGCCTTAGCAGGAAGTGCACGGGCAGATGGCAAGTGGGAGCAGGCTATATTTGCCCCATAGACAGCATCACCCCACCAAAACAATGTGGGCACTGCGGGAGAGGAGCAAGTGTCAGGATTGGTGCCCATTTTCAGGAATATAATGTTAATGTAAATGTAAATGTAAATGTAAATATAAATATAAATATAGTGTCCTCTCAGCCTTTACTAGGCAATGTGTGAAGGGAAAACTAGAAGTGCAGATATTTATTTTCCCTAATGTCAACAAACATGGCTACCCTTCTTAACCAAACTTGTGATTATTTCAAGATTTTGCAGTGCATGGGAAGCTTTCCGGTAATCAGTTTTGGGTTTTTTATTACAGCACATAATCATAAGGACTACACTGTTAATTTAATAAAATTAACCTACATTGAGCATTCAGAACTTACTGGAAACATATTTAAGCATTTGAACTTCTTAGAAACATTTGAAATGCCAGACTGCTTTGCTGCCCTCCTGAAATGCTTTTGTGTGGAAACACTAACAGTTTGTTCAGTTAGGCTTTCATTTCTCCTCCATTTCCTGTCTCCGTTCAGCTGGCAAGTTTTCTGACAGTGATTTACTTCACTCTTAGGTGTTAATTCCCAGCAAAAATGAATGGAGGCTCTTTCTTGCTCAAAACGCTGCGTGTTATCGCGGGGCGACTGACGTAGATTTTTCCCCTTTCCTTTAAGCAGCCAGTAGCTGCCCTCCTCTGTTTGTGCAAGAGGTCAGGCACATTTCCTGGCATGGGCCCCAGTGAGCGTTGGGGTTTGCTTCACTCAATTATGTTTTTTTCTCCTTGCTCTGCAGTCCGTCTGCTCTCCCGGTTGCTCCTGTGTTTACGTAGGCCGCCTCTAGCCTTAAAAGCATCTTCTCTCCACTGCTCCCCTCACAACTCTGCTTTCAGTCGCAGGAGGAGCGCACAGGGCTTTGCTTGTGGACCCCTTTCTGGGGAGTTTTGTTCTGCAGGATGTTATAAAGCCCTAGTGCAGCTTCTGGAAACAAACGTACCAGCTCAAGCTTCTCAGTATAATAGCGTTTCTCATCATTCCTCTATGTCTCTTTTCTTTTACTAATTAGGCTTTTTTCTATTTTTGTCCATTTCTGGACTGCAGCATCAAAGAAGGAAGTTTCAGGTGCTCACTGTCTCCGTATTTAATCTTTTAAGGAAGAGCCTTTAGCAAGTTATCCTGCAGCTTTTGCCGCACAGGCTCAATATCTGCCTGCACCCAGACTCTGCAGTTCTTGGAGAGCTTGGCCTCGCAGCAAAGCAAGCCAGCAGCTCCCTGAGCTGTATTAACCAGCCAGGTGACTGAGGGATGTCATTATCCCCTGCTCATCTGCTGGGGGAATGCACTGATCTGCAGTCAGTGGACCATCCCTGGGCTACTGCAGCCCATGTCAGGTCACCTAGTATAGGCAGGATATCAAGCAACTGGTGTGAGTTCAAGGGAGAGCCACCAAGATGGTCAGAGCTGGAGCACTTGCTGGTGAAGAGATGCTGAGGGATCTGGGCTTGTCCAGACAGATGAAAAAGCAGCTTGTGGAGGGGTGCAGTGAACTCAGTGCTGAGGTCTCGTTAAAATCACATGGCCAATCTCAGCCTTTTATTTTTGTGTATTTTTAATTGTTTATTTGTTCATCTGTTCACTTTTTCATTCTGCTTATTATTAGAGTGAAACAATAATATTTTAAAAGACTTAGTCTGTTTACTATTAATTAAATTTGCCTATATGTCCGCAGCAGATCTGTTCCCTGATTATTTTTGTGGTCAAACACAAGTCACACAGAGAAATGGCCTGAGAGCTAGAAATAACAAATTTGAGGATTACCTCCAGGGTCACATTCAGAGCGCCTTTATTTTTTTCCATTAATAACCTAGCAGAAAAGCATTATTCAAGGCCAAAGCTCCATGCTTACATTAGTGTACCTACAGTGTCACCACCCTGACAAATTAGTTCAACAAGCAACTCAGTGTGCTACTAGGTAAGGAAAGATATCTATCAGGACTATCTGTCAGTTTTGTATCCTTGTTTACCTCTGAAAATGGGCAGTTCTGGAAATGGTGAAGAGCAGGATGGCGATTTACCCTCGGGGCTGGCAGAGGTGAGCAGGAGTGTTGCTTGAACAGGAGAGGCCAGCCCATGCAGGAGGACTGCTCTCCAGGTGAGCTGCAGAGTCAGGCTGGAGAGGGGAGCCTCTGCTTCACAGCATCATGGTTTAACAGCGAGGAAGCCAGCGGATCTGCAAAGGTTAGAGAGTTGCTGGAGGGGCAAGAGGGACTGAATGAGAATTTGCAGAGCAGAATAAAGCCACATTTATGGGGGAAAAAAAAAAAAAAGAAAAAGAACAAGGAAATCAGAGAGGAAACAATGCAGATTATTTGGAGGAAAAAAATAATGTCAGAAGGGAGAGAGATCATGAAGAAAAGGCAAAGGAGATGGATAACAAAGTAATTATTTCAGCATGTTCCTTTCACTACTAGCTTCTATATTCTAGACCACACCTTAYCACAGTGCATATTTATTCCATTATAGACAACACCCAATAGAAATATATTATGAAACTATCTCCAATTTTGGGAGGAAAATTGATATTTTAAAAGACTGAGCATTAGTTATAGCAACACTAAGCTTAACAACATACTACTTAGATATCTAAGTTGATCCAGGCGTTTTCCTTTTCTAGGTGAATGTATTAGATAGACCTGTCCATGCTTATGTTTCTGTTTTCAGTGGAAAGCACAGGATTATTGTTTTTAAGTATTCTTCTGTGAAGCATGGAAGTAAATATTCATTTATTTGTTTTGTGGGCAAGGTTTTCCTCTGCAGTCCCTGATACTGAAAAGGATTTTAAGAATAGTTAAAGTTTAATATTACTGTAATTTGTCATGGGTGGACAAGTCTGGGTGGACAAATGTTTAGGTATGTGAGCTGTGAAAGGTACAWTTTCTGTTTTTTAGATTACCACACCCTTGTGCCTCTCTTGACATTTTAGAGAAAAGGGWGTTATTCAGTAGATTTGTTTTGGACAGTTTCCCTGCTTCTGTTACCAACTTTACTCTTTGTTGTGGCCTTTAGTGATCCAGTTCCCTTGAAATATCTCACGTAGCTAAGGTTATCAGTTGATCAGTTAATACTTTGTATAGCCCTTTCTAAAAAAACTCTTAAATACTTTTTAGAAATTTAGAAATGCTTTTAAATGTCTCCCTTTCTGATGATAGTCTTTGCAGGCAGGACTTTAACAATGGCTCTCTGGTACCTCTGCTAGCAAGCAGTAATGAGAAACCTGGCTCAGCTCTGACTTTCCTTTATGTTTTTGCTGATTTATCAACTCCAGTGAGGTTCCTTTCTAATTGTGCTTCAGTAATGTGTCATATCTCATTATTTTGTATCCAGAATGCACAAACCACTAAGAAAGGCCTTCCTGCAACATGGAAGGTCAACAGAGTTGTCTTCCCAGTCAAACATATTTCCTATTATTCTTTATCCTCCAAATTCAGTTATAGCAAGTTAGTTTTTTTATTTTCCATGGCGTGTGAGAAGCCTGCATTCCTGTGTGCATCCAACAAATAACCTTGACTCTCCCTTTTAGTTTACAGCAGTATTTGCTTAGCAAGCTCCATGCTTCTCACCAACTCCTGTCTGTATTACACGTGGTTTGAGAGAGAAAGGCGTACTTCCTTGTTTTACATTGTATTTGCCCATCTTTCATAGTCCTTTAGTTTCCTTTCCACATGCTGTGCCCTTCCTGTAGGCAGAGTTCTCTCGTGCATACGTCTAGCAGGATGGCCTTGAGCACAC